ACTGAGTCCTTACATCTCCAGCCGCTGAACCATACCAGCTGAAGAGGAGGACTGCAATCATGCGTGGGGCCACCCTAAGACCGAGAGCCTGAGTGACTGAAGAAAAGAATGAGTAGCCCCAGGCTTCAGCCAGTGTTCCCGCCAGTGTTTCCTCATCCCACTGGCCTTCAGCAGCATTGCCACTCCTCCTCTGGCTTCCTGCTACTTCTCTGGTCTCATTTTGCAAATTTTTGTTTCAGGCAGGTTCTTTTTTATTAACCAGTTTCCAAACCTCGGTCTCAGTTCTTGGCTTTACTTCATCTCTAGTGACTCTTTCCCTAGTGATCTCACTCAGACAGTGTGTTTCAGTGCCTTCTCTATGTTGCTGACCTCCCAAACTACAGCTCAGTGTCAAAGCTTTCTCTTGAAATCAGTCATTGCCAGTCACCTACTTAACATTTCCTTTTGCACATTTTGTAGGCATTTAAACTGACAGGTCTGAGTTGCCTTTATTCATATTCTTGCCCCATTTGGCTCTGCTTTCCTTATGTCAGTAAATGGCAACCCCATTCTTACACTGACTGGGAATGTCATCGACTTTTCTCTCTCATGTCCCATATTTTATCTGTCAGCAAATGATGTAATCTTGAATTCTGACTTTATTGCCTCTGTTATTGCCAAGCTAAGATACCATCGTCTCCCAGGGAATCTCCTCTCAGCTAGCCTCTACCCTAGTGGCCTCCAATTCACTCTACACATAGTGGCCGCAGGGATCCTGTTAAATGCATGTCAGATTGCATCACTTCTCTTCTCAAAACCTCCAGTGGCTTCCTGGCTTACTTCCAGCTAAAATCCAGGTCCTCATGTCAACAAATTACACAATCTTCTCCCAGCTTCCCTCTGCATCTTCCCCACCACTTTCGGCCTCGCTTCTGCCCAAGACCCAACTCCATGAGCCTCTTTTCTGCTCTCATATGCAGTAGTCCTGCTCCTTCCCTTCACGTCACCCTTCCCTTTCCCAGGAACGATCTCTTCTCAAATACCTGTGTGCTTCCTTTTTAGTCTTCAAATCTTTAGATACTGCCTTTCTCAGTAGTGTGCCATGACCACCTCATCTAACGCCACAAACTCTCAATACTTATCTCTCTGACATATGATTTAATCTGTTCTCCACCCATTAGAAAAGAACCTCTCCAAGGCAAGGGGTGTTAACTACTTTGTTCACTGTTATATCACCTCAGTGCTAACAACAGTTCCTGCAAGAATAGACCTTTATTTTACAGCTAGATGGATGGATGGCAAGAGTAACTGGAGCCTGTGTTTATATACAGTTAACTGCTTATATATAGCTTACATAATTTTCTCTAATCTTTTAAGGGAAAATCTCCCAACTAAATGCTTTTTTCTTTGTTATCTTCCAACCTCTGGTTCTTCTATCTCTCAGTGGCTTTGCAACTTTTCTTATGAAAGTTGACTAACAGGTCCACTTATGCTTGTTCAGCTACAGCACAATGATGTGACACTGAGTTGTCCCCACAACGCAGTTAGCATTGCTTCCAAGTGACTTGTACTAGTAGCCTCTGGTCTGTGCTGATAGGGATGCTGGCTGGGGCAGAAGCAGAGTTACCAGAACTGTGAAGAAGTAGTCACACCTCTTCTCTCTACTTTGTGAGCTGGGTGATCACAGCTCAGTTAGTAAAATTCTTGCTGCACAGGCATAAGGACCTGAGTTCCATTCCTGGAGTCCATGCAAACACCAGGCAGAAAAGCAAGCACTTACAGTCCTATTGATGAGGAAGTGGAGACAGTCAGATCCCTACAGCTTTCTGGCCAACCAACCTAACCAACCAGCCCCAGGTCCCAGTGAAAGATCCTGTCTAAGAAAGCAAGGTGGATTGGTCCTTAGGAATGACACCTGAGACTGATCCCTGCCCTGCCTGTCGTTCACATGTATGCGAAGGTGTGTGCATGCATCCACACACAGGGATACACACACTTTTCACACATGTGCATGCACAGACACATACACAGTATTCTCTCTCTCTCTCTCTCTCTCTCTCTCTCTCTCTCTCTCTCGCTCTCTCTCTCTCTCTCTCTCTCGCTCTCTCTCTCTCTCTCTCTCTCGCTCTCTCTCTCTCTCTCTCTCTCCCACACACACACACACACACACACACACACACACCACACACACAATTTTATTTCTGAGCTGAAAAGAACTGGAAAAAATCCCATAGTGTAATCTTTTAGACATTTCAAAAACCAGAGCTACACTAATTAAAACACAAGCATTTCTCCACTTGTATTTATTTCAAAGAACAAATCATGAAACCCTAAAGAGAAGAATATAGTTTCCAAGCCACAGAATTGCTCTTTCTGCAAGTAAACTATATCTAAACAGTAAACTGTCTATAAATATAGCATCTAGCTCATCTCTTCACCTATCCACGAATGAACTAAAGGTCTACTCTTTGCCAGGTCTTCCTTGAATCCAATCATTAAACTACATTCACTCCACATTTATTGGAAATCCTACAAACTCATTCCAGCTTTGTTCTGGAGTCTCACATTCCCTTTTTAACATATGTAACTACTGTACTTTCCATTTCTTGCTTATTTGGATCTTTGTTCCCCTGACTCCCCGACCCCACCCCAGGAACAGTCCCTCCATCTTCCTATTTATATAGGATTTAGAATCCCACTCCAGTTTTCCTAGGACAGGGCTGACCAGGGACAAGAAGCATACTCCAAATGTTCCTCCAGCCATAAGGAAGCAGTATGGGGGAGAGGTGAATTTTTGGAGTCTAACCCTATCAATTCTTGGGCTTAGGAAAACTTAGCAGTGACCAGCTACTCAACAAGCCTGTTAGTACAATCTGCTTTTACAGCAAGGTATGCTCCATGCCTGGAACTCTCCTTGGAACTCACCCTTATAAAGGGCACTTTGGAGAAGCAGTGTGTGTCTTTTGGAAGCTCTTAATTTAACAGGAGACAACACAACTACGTGTCTCTGTGAATGGCAACTGGCTGTGAAGCAAGTTGTAAGTATTGCCCATTTCTATGTGACACATCCTAATAAAACATTTATCCTGATTAATCCTGAGCAAGGACAGAAAGAGAGCCAAGACATCGACCCTCTGTAAGCTCCCCTGTGACTCACAGGCCAACTTTGTACTAGTCCACTCAATGCCACAAACTAATCAACTGCCCTGTGGTTCCATCAACAATGTAACAGAGGCTGCCATGCCATTTTTCCAGAAAAACCATCAGTGGCATCATTGCTCATTGTAATCATCTATCAAAGGCCCCATCTTCCAGCTTACCACACTACTTAGCAGAGCATAAAGGCTTCCTTGGGTTGTTAAATTAGGTTGTTACCAGTCCCTTGCTGTTTCTGTGTTTTAGTTGTGTCTTTGTACCTTGAGCAGGGTTATTGGGAAAGGAGTAGTTGATAGGTTTATTACAGCAGTTGTTGGAGCGAGAGAGCTGTCTTCTGCCTCCTCCCGTTCTTCCTGAGGCCCTCTCTGCTTAGAGACAGATTTTGTCTTGTTACCCTCACCTGCACAGCTCTGTGCTCCAGATGCCCAATGTTTAAGGAAATTTGTCTTTAAATCATGTTGCTTGAAAGGACAGAAATGCAACTATTCAAGCATATAAAATGCAAGAGAAATGCTGAGCACAGAAGATGCAGAGTATTAGGTCCACAAAGGTCAAGGCCACAGGAAGCATGCACTGTTGGAATAATCTTTTTATATATCATGTAAAGATGTGTCTGTGTTTTACCTCACCTGCCTAAGGTACCTTCTGATTAGTTTAATAGAGAGTTGAATGGCCAATAGCTAGGCAGGAAGAGGATAGGCGGGACTTCCAGGCAGAGATGGGAACTCTGGGAAAGAATCTGAGGCAGGAGATTCACCAGTCAGAAGTTGAGGAAGTCGGACATATGGTACTGAAGAGAGGTAACAAGCCACATGGCCAGCTGTAGATTAATATACAGTTGTATATTATAGTAAATATTTTATAATTAATTTTTAATTATATTAATTAATATAAAAGTAGGTTAAATTAAGTTTTAAGAGCTAGTTGGGAACAAGCCTAAGCTAAGGCCATGCTTTCATAATTAATAAAAAGTCTCCATGTTATTATTCAGGAGCTAGTGATCCAAAGAAAAATCCATTATAATGTACAGTAGTTAGAGCTAACCTAAAATGTTCTAAGACTTACCATGCATCACAATCTTTGGTTAACTTGCCCTGGGGTTCCTTAGTGGGTTTGGGCAGGATCCCATGGGTTTGCATTCCTACTAAGTTCCAGATGCCCCCATTGAAATAGGGAATCCCACTTTGAAAACTACTGGGCTAATCAGATTTAAGTTTGAATTTTCATGATTTGTTATCTTAAATATTTACAGTCATCTATTGTTCCCATTTTTATTCCTCTGTAGGTTTTCCAGCAATCTGCCACGAGAAAATCCAGTGAAAGAGATTTGGCTCTGTGTCTATAATCTAAATGGATTCTGTGGAATTCCTCTGCATTTCCTCCAACCTTCTCAGAAGCATTTCATTGGATCCTTGACTATAACTTACCAACTCAAAGAGAGTGTTCATTCTGTTCCTCCAGAGAAATCTGGGGGGATCCCAGAAGTCCTCTGCCAGTGCAGAGAGAATCCTGACCAGGTACACCTTTCCAAGCAGCTGGCTAGTAGAAACTGTTCCTGAGGAACAGGAACAGGATGTCTGCCCCCACCTTAAGGGACAGAGCCCACAGGAGAGGCATGTTTCACTCACCTTAGCACAAACTCAACTGTGTTTTCAGGGCAAAGCTTCTAAATGGAGTATGAGGTTTTCTACATTAATGGCAGTGGTTTCCCTTCTGACTAATGAGTAGCAAAAGACAGCAACCATTGAGAGGAAAGTTCCTCATCAGTTATGGGCTAGAAAGAAAGGTTGGTGGGAACCACCATCTACTGCCTCACTGCTCTTCCCATCTCCCAGACCCCAGTCAAAGAAAAGACAGCTGCTCACTGTTTCGGGGTTTGTCTTCGTCCATGCCCTCATCTTCATTCTCAGGGTCAATGTCTTCCGCTTGGGTGATCCAATCCAGGTAGCCTTTGAGATCTTCTTCTAGCTGCTGCTTCTCTCGAAGCTTTTGGAAATCCCCCCGAGCTTTGGCTTTCTCCCTTTCTTTGGAAAACTCTCTGGTGTGAGAGAGAGGGGAGCGGGTGGGTAGGGCAGAACATCCGGGAAGGGCCATCCGGGAAGAAAGACAGAGAGAAGGGGAGACAAGGCAGGTATTAATTGCTTTGTGAGGAGAACCCTGTCCAAATCACCCCCATTTCTACAGACAACTATCTCCAGCACCCAGTTCTGTCTTCACTCCCACAAGAAGCAGAAGCACTGAGAGCGTGCTCTTGACACAGGCCAGGAAAATCTAAGGGGATGAGGGCTGTCCATTCACTTTCTAGATCACAATAGATGTTGTCTGTGGATAACAGCTGTTCTCCAAAGATAGGGAGAACAGTCTGTAATGTCCCTCTACAACAAGGAAATGTGTCACCCACTATTAGGTCACACCTTTTTTTTTTTTTAATGGCAAAGCATCTTCAAATGACACAGATTATTAGGACCCAGTGATGAAGAGTCCACTTACTTGTACTGGGTCTCAGAGCCAACAATGCCTTCTTTTCCCAACTCTGGTTTCAGTGATGTCTCCTTGATAGTATGATAACAACTAAGTTTGGAATATTTACACCATGAAAACTAGCCAATGCAATTAATTGTTCAGGGCATTTCCCCATGGAAAGTAGTACCCCGTTGTCTAGGGGCCCAGTAGGTTTGATCTTTTCAATCTCCATTCTCATCGCTACAGTCCATCCTACTGTTCTTAGCATGCCTGGAGGGGAGTACAACGCACATGGATACCCAAAGGATTCCAAACACAAGAAAATACCCTGGGGCCTGCCATTTGGGTTAAAGAAATCTATCCAGGATAGGAAAATACATAAAATGAAGATGGTATTAAAGTTAATGCTTCTCTTTAAAGCAATGATCAGCAGAAATTGTAGTTTGCCTGGGACTTGCTGGGAGAAGGAACTATATAGGACAGTCTCTTCTCAGTTGTCTCGGATGAAGTCCTTCTTTTCTCTAACTCTGAATTCACTTTAAGCAAGGCTAAGGCTTAGAGCAGAGGCAACGACAGACAAGCTAGTTCCTAAGTGCCACAGCAGGTGCGAACCTTTTCTTTCTATGGGTGGCGGAAGAATTTACTTTGTTTGGATTTCTGATCTATTGAAATGGAGTCCTTGGTGGTAGGATGGGGGTAGGAGTGTACATGTGAATCCTCTGGTGTCTTGACTAATCGCTGGGCCACGGTTCCTGCCTTTCTTCTCAGTAAGGGCCCAGATTCAGGACAACCGGCTATGGAACCATCAACAGAGCTTCGTGCACAGGCTTGGGGCTGCAGGGGAAAGGCACTGTGGAGGTGATCATGTCACCAACAAACCTTGGAGAACAAAAGGCTCAGTGGAGCCTGGTATCCTATACTGGAGGCTCTATCACCACATATCACCCACCTTGTGTTTATATTTTGTCTGTGGCATTTGGCAGAGCTCAGCTTTAGCACTCTCACCACTGTGGTGAAATGGGGTTGAGCCCCGGGAGGAGCCTAGGGAATGCTTTGATTGGGAGAATGGGGGCTCTCAAGCTAACGAGTCTTCTTCAGCTACCTCCTTCACAAGGTTCTGGTTTGGATTGAATTTTCTTTTTAAATCTGATTGAATCCAATTATAATCGGATTGCATTTGCTATTTCTTGGGCTTCTTGCCAACCAGTGAGTACTTTTATTTCCTTCCCAGAAAGTCGTATGCCAGGGAAGAGGCGCTAGATTGACAGATCACGGCAAAGGTAGGATCTGGCTTGGCTTTGCTCATCCTGCTTCTGTTGTTGGGGTGGCCATGGAAAGATGCCAACCTCTCCTTGCTTCCCCCCTCTTACATATGGCATAGCCTCCCCTGCCTTAATCTCACTCTCTACAGACAATAGATTCGGGGTACACGCTCTCCTTATGTAAATAAACTAAAAAACCTGGCATGTTGAGTTGAGGATCTTCTCCTGAAATCTTTCTGCTGCACCCAAGTGCTCTTTTTTTTTTTTCTTCCCTTGCGCTGGAGTGGCTTTGAGTGAGTTTCTAAGGGATAAAGTTGCTAAGAGAGTGCTTTAGTTCTGGATGATTTTGGAGAGTTCAAGCTCTGGTTTTAAGATGCCCACCATCCCTCTGGGTGTTGGAAGAACAGGCCCAGATTCAGGCTGGCGTTAGGAAGTGGCCCCAGTCCTGTTTTACAGCATCTGTCTTGGAGTGGAAGCTCACTGGCCACACCTGCAGATCCATGGGAAACCTAGATAAACAGCCACGGGGAATACAGGGGAACAGGGTGGCTGCACGCTTCTGTGAGATTTGCCTGCTTCTGCTCCTGTACAGGAAGTAAGGGCCTACTGTGTTAGAAGGGAGTGAAGATGTGGCCTGAGCAACAAGGCAGCATGGGGCTTTGATGGTCCCACGGGCAGGGATGCAACCAGAGTGTGGCTCCATGGAACTTCAGGCTGCACATGGTAGTGATGCACTGATTGACAGCCCCTGGGTCTCTTTCCTCTCCTGGATGCCAGCCATGTGACAGTGATGCACTGATTGACAGCCCCTGGGTCTCTTTCCTATCCTGGATACTAGCCATGTGCCTGCTCTGGAGTCTGAGCTGATGAAGACATAAAAATACAGCCTGACAGGCTGTGCCCAGCCTAGGGGCCAAAGCCGGCAAGACTATCAGTTACTACTGTGGCATTTGTCACAAGGCAGGAGTGCATCTGTCACTAGCAATGGCCAACATAAAATATGGGAAGAGGGGTGGTCAGTTCTCAAGTAAAGCATGCAACAGGGGGTATGGTTGGGGCTAGTCACATGGGACACTAGGTTCTCTGAGAATCAATACTGAGTAGATAAACAGTAACTCTGATATTTCAGGGTTTTCTAAAATTTGTTCGCAACCCCCTAATCAATGTTCATGGCACTTTCAATCATGTGTAGATATGCATGTAATGGCAAAAAAGTCACATGCTCCCTGCTGAGGTCAGACAAGGTAAGATGCTTTCAGGTGCTCTCCCTAATTCAGCTGCCATAATGTAAGCAAATACCTTTCTTGAGGGCCTGTGTATTCAGTACCATGTCTTTTGTTGTTGCTGTGTTTTTGAACTGTTTACTAGAGATTTTGCTGTTTAAAAGGTCCCAAGCACACTTCTAATGAGAGAAGGCTGTGATGTGTCTTACAGAGAAAATGTGTGTTAGATAAGTTCATTCAGGCACGAGTTCCAGTGCTATGTGTCCAGAGTTAACAAATGGGTGACAGTTACTAAATAAGTTGTGGACAGAAACACACACAGGGCTATGTTTTACTGGGTTACCAAATGTGACCAGAGACTCAATGACAGGAACCTAACTCTTTACTTTGCATTGGTGGCCCAGTATTCACCGGTGCATTGTCCATCGTGAGTTGGCAGAACATAACCACTGAACAATGAGAATCCATTCTGGGTGGCCACCTCTCCTGCTCCCGCCATAGCGCATGCAGGCCTTCTCACTCTTGATGTCCTGTCTTAACAGTGGCATCATAGTCCAAGTATACTCTCAGGCTGTCACTCTCCCACCCAGCAGGGACTCTGCTTTTTCTGGCAGCAAACATGCCTGTCTCCGATGTGGAAAAGGATGGGGCAGTTACTCAGATGAGAGATCCTAGGTACAGACACATCCAAAGGCCCGGGTTTCAGAGTGCAGGCTTCCACTCCCTCAGCCACAGCTTCAGATGCAATTTCAAAAGTCTCACTGACACTGTTGTTTTGATTCTAGTATGTTGGAGACTGGGATTTGGGGAGGAGAAAGCATCAGTTCTTATCCAATTGTTACCTGTACTGACGCCAGTCCTGTGCCTTGCATAGGGTAGATATGAGGATCACTACATAGCACAGAAGATTTCTGAAGAGACTCCAGGAGCTACATGTTCTTCACACTATGTGGCCTCATCAGAAAGAAGGCTTTCTGGATATGTGAGGGTTGCAGATAAAGGATGCAGAACCCTCAGGTAACCAAAATCTTGGAATTTCTACCTTTGCCATAGAAACTGTATGGAATGCCATCCTACTCTGAGCAGAACACATAAGGCTATCTTAGCCTTTCCTTGCTGGCTAAAGGATACAGTTTATGAGGGTGAGTTACTTAATTGGGCTGTAAAAGAGTATTATTAATTGGTGGACATAGGGTTCACACCCCAACCCTTCAGCCACAGTTGCCTCTGCTCTCAGAGCCCACCAAGTTCTTCAGAGTTTCCAATCTGAACACCGGACCGACTGGGACATCCAGGTAGCTTGGACCTTTTTGTCCTCCAGCTGTGTCCAGAAGCCTGCTTCTACTACATCTCTCCTTTACACTTTCACCTTTAGAGAGTCTGATCTTTCCACCCCACTTTTTCCTGCAACAGGTTAGTGCAGGAGTAGTATGGAAGTTATAGGAAGAAGTTGTGGACTGACGACATTCTGGTCCAGCTCTCCATCCTCTAGTTTTTTCCCATTAGAATGGATGTGGCTTCCTCATCTAAATCTGTTTCTTTTCTTCTGTGAAATAAAAACACAGTAGCATCCAGTTCATGGAATTGTCCTGAATACTAAATAATGTCCTGAATACTAATATATGAGATACGCAGAGCACAGGCCTTGGCACAGTATGGGGAGACTGTTAGTGCTATCCTTGGGATAGTGCATTTCATGGGCTGTAAGACTTTCTGAATATTCTGGAATGTTGGTCTAATAAAAGTCTAGCTGATGAATGAGTGGGTGTTTTCCCACATACTTGTGGTTAACTATTAAAATGTTGTCCGGATTAATCAAGATGCCAACTTCAAACCATCACAAGTGTGGTCAACCAGCAGGAGCCTGTTTCCAGGTTTGTCACTGCACAGGTTAGAGGCAACACATTCAGAGAAACTGGCCCTTGACAAAAAGCCAGAAGGGGTAGACAACTGCTGGACAAAGGTCCATTAATCTTTGTGGAGCTGCCAGAAGCATGACTGCAACTTTGAAAATGGTCAGGTACTAGAAGGCTCCAGAGCAGACAAGTTGAACTCTGGAGCATAGATGCAAAGATTAAATTGCCTCTATATCCCTGTCCCATGTCAATTAAATTTCCTGAAAACCATTAAGCATCAGAATTGTGGATTCTGTAATCCATCCTCATTTTATCTAAATGAGACCAAGGGGTGATTTCAAAATGACCTCCCCTTCAGCATCAGCAGCAGCTCCTTTAAATTCTCTGATCTGACACCAGTAAGTGGGTCATTCTTCTGGGGGATAAGGGTCCCAATGGCTGTGAGCCAAAGAAGGGGCCTTTGGAATCTAGTCCTCATTCTCCATATTGGATTCCTGGAAGAATTTTACATGCTAAGATTTGGTCCCTAACATCTGAGGTAAGAAAATGGAATTTAGGTTGTTTTTGTTTCTTTGTTTTGGCTTACCGCTCTGTCTGGACTATGCTAAAACTAAGCTTATTCAATATAGATCTAGCAGGCAGTCACAAGAAAACAGGGGCCAAACTAAGACTCCAGGCCCAGATCTGCTGATTGCCAGAAAAGTGACATCTCTTGGCTCATGTTACTCATCTCAAAAGAAAAGTCAAAGTAATCATTGCAGTTTCAGCCACGCCACTGCCACTGACCACATACTAGTCCTTGTTCATTCTACAATGACAGCCACCTATGAGCTGATGTTAGCTTCATTTTTTTGACATGGAAAACGAAGGTTTAAAAAGATGAAGTTGCCAGATATTATGCAGCCAGTAAATACAGAGCTACGATAGCCAAATTTCTGTCTTCAAAGGGGATAATGTGTTTGATTTTTTTCCCAATGCTGTCTGTGAGACTCATCTATAAACAACGGGCCATTTTCTTGTGTTGGAAGATAAAAAACGGATCCCCTGCCCCCTCCAGGCAGCTAACTAGGAGCTTATATATTGCTCCACCTCCCTTTCATCTCGCTCTCTCGTATGGGTCTCACCTTGGCAAAAGGCAAGGTGCCATCCAGGGCCGTGGGAGGGGTAAGGAAGGAGTAGGTTATTTTCTTCACTCCATTCTAGACTGAACCCTGTGCCCTGGGTACGGTGGGAGGCAGAGCACTGCCTGTTCTGCAATGACAGGAAGTCCCTAGGTGCCTGAGAAGATTATGAAAGCAGTTGGCCTATCCAAGCAGAGCAGAAACAGATCCCCCGCCTGCCTCCCGCATTAACAAAGTCAGTAGGTAGGTCCCCTATTAGAGGGCCAGAGGGTCACCAGGAGCATTTAGGTGTCAGGTCTTGGCATGGCTGGCATGAGCTAGTAAACAATAGATGGCGGAGGAAACACCCCAGGTCTACATGATGAAGGGACACTTGGTGCCCTAGCCGTGAGTCATTCTTTCACTTCTAATTGCATTTGAGCAATTAGAAGGGCTGAAAACAGGTAGGTTTGTATCTGTGGCCATCTAGCTAGATTTAAAGGAAAATAAACTATGCCTCATCCATAACCTCATAGTAACTTGTGGCTTTAAACAGTTACATGTCCTTTGCATTCAGAAAAGTAAACATCAGTGTTGGGCTATATGGCCTTGAAATAAGAATTACTATTTGTTTGCACACACACACACACAGTCACAGTTTTGGCTGTTTTTGCTTTTGACAATGCTGGGTCAAAACCCAAACTTCCTTCTCTGGCCTGTTCACTCAATAAAAGTGATTTAAAGTCTGTGTTATTTGCCTGAAGATGATAACTGGCTCATGAAATCAGGCCAGTATTTAGTTTCAAGGGCACTGTGAGTGGTGTGTGTGTGTGTGTGTGTGTGTGTGTGTGTGTGTGTGTGTGTGTGAACCTTCTTACAGATTCCTGCTGGGAAGTCCTTTCTACTCAAGGGTCTTTCTGTGCCGCTCCTCAGGCTGAGTGAGTAGGCCACAAGGGGAAAACATCCTGACTACCTGAGCAGCTCCTGGGGCTGGGAAGGCTTGGTGTGTGTGTGTTGGGAAAGGGGTGGAACTGGGTGTCTCTTCTCTAGGGTCCACCACCTGGACCAATGAGTTAATTCACAGTCAGGCCAAAGACCTTCACTTCAAGGCTCTTGAGTGACCCTTTATCCCAGGTTCATCAGAGCCAGAAACAGAATAGTGCCAGGAATAGCGGAAAGAATAAATAAAAATGAATGGAAAAATCAAGACCATTTCCTTGGTCCTGCTTACCCGCTAAGAACACCGAGAACCAAGTTAAGTACAAAAAATGACCCTATGATGATTAGTGTAACAAAATAGATCCAGGGCCAGTCCCTTCCTACGGCATCATTGACCTGGAAGAATGGAATGATAGTTAGTCAGGCACACACAGCAACCGAGCACGGCCAAGCGCCAGCCACCGGCTCCCCAGCGCTGATCTGAGCAGCTTGGGACCCGGGATCCTCAATGTGCAACTCAGAGGCCAAACCGCCTGTGCAGCCAATGGTCAGAATCTGTGCTTGCATGGAGAATTTTTTTGTCCCATTTTCCTGGGCCTGTTAGGGTCCTGTCTCTGAGGATTCTGCATTGAACGCAGTGGAACCTGGGACCTTGCTCGGCTGCATTGTTAAAGAGGACACAGAAATGGTCAGCTTACCCGCTCAAAACACCGAGAACCAGATTTAGAACGAAAAAGGATCCAAAGATGACCAGACTGACAAAATACACCCAGGGCAACTCATAGCCCATAGCGTCTTGCATCTGGAAAGACGAAGGAGAGTTAGGACAGAGCAAGCAAAGTAGAGGGCAAGACAGACAGGCAGGGAGTGAGAACAGATCCACAGGAAGAAAGGGACTGAACTTGGGTTTTGGTAACTGGATCAGGATCTGCCATTATATTTGGCTTCATCCCTATTCAAATTCCTTCCCTACAACCCTGACCTGAGCTATAAGGACCTATGCAGGGTCTCCTGGAGGTGGGGGAAATCTTGTCTGACTTCCAGATATTTTATTTTTTGGAAAAGAAATGGTTCCCCCAGTGCCTTTTCTACTTGGTTGTCTAGGAAGGTGGGTCACTTCACAAAACATTTTTTTTCCATCCTAGAATGGGCTTAGCTCATTTGGGCTTCTGTGGCCACTACATCTCCCATCAGCTGTTCTCTGAGGAGGGCTGACTTTGGGGTGTGACAAGGACCAGCTTTACTGACAGGGCTGGAGACTGAAGCTTCCATGACACAAGACAGTGATCCTACCTCCTGGACTCAGGCAACAGAGGGCTCAGCCTCACTGCTTCATAGGCAAATGGGCCAGAAAAGGGGGTGCTCTCCCTGGCTTATATGTCAGAAAAGGGGCTTGGTCTCTGACCCCACGGCCTAGATGAAAGAGTTATCTAGCCTGTAACTGATGGACTGATGGGGACACTCTTTGGCAAGTCACAAACGCCTGCAGGAATTGGAGGCAATGGGAGCCAGAACTGGCTCCTTTGGGCTGAGGGGAATTTGCTGTGAGAATCTCTTCAGAACTCCCTGTCTACTGACTTTCACCTTTTCCCTACAGCTCCTTGATGTGGTTGTCAGGTGTGTCATATACTTCTGGTGGGAGGAGGTGTGAAGACAAGTCATAGGACAGAGTTTCTATCAAAGAGGAAATATATTCAGACTCGGCTTCTCAAATCTATTTCTTCTGATGTTTTCCAAGCATTAAACACACTTTATTTCTGGTTTGCTAAAAAACTAGCCTCACGGTTGTCTTTTGTGAACCTAGATTATAAAACTCTAGATTCTAAGGTACCTGCTTCCTGACTGACTTCCATGTGCAGTTCTCAAAGTGTAGCCTTAAGTACCAGCACCATTAGGGCCTCATTTAGAAGTGCTCACACTCCATCTCACCCTGGAGCTCTGGGGGAGCAATCTACTCATACAAGCACTACAGATTAACTGGATGTGGGATACATGACAGAGCTTGTGGAGCCCTGACCGACAGCACTGTCTTCATGCTACCAGTTACACATGGAAGGCCATAATTGTGCATCTCCACTACATTGGGCCCTGAGATAGGACAGTTTGGGACAATCAACAAAAGTAGGTTCCTGGATCTTGCCTCATAGCCTAGGAGTTCAGTATAGTTAGTAATCTGCATTATGACTGTATCCCAAGTGATCTTCCTAAGGAATATGAAAATTAGATTTCTACCTTTGTGCCTCAATTGAGTTACAGATGTGCCATTCTCTGTGTGATAGCACCAAAGATGGAGAGGCGCTCAGAGACCTGCTTGCTCCAAATGGCTTGCTGTTCTGTCGTTAGAGATACCGTGTAAAAAATGCACCTGTGGCTCATTGACTTGAGCTGAGTCAGTGAAGAGTTCCCCATGAATGTCCACATCACAGTGAAATTCAATTTAACAATTTGTTGAGCAGCTCCATCCCCACCTGCCTTGCTCTATTTTTCCATAGCATTTATCACTTTATGACTGCGTGGGCTCCTTGTGAGTCATGTTGGGCATTCATTGTCTTATAAGCTATAGTGTGGGTTTCATGAGCACAGGTGGTTTTGGCTTGTTTAGGTCACTAGTGAATCCCAAGTGCCAGGAGCAGTGCCTTGCTTTTGATAGGTACTCAGGGAATGTCTGAGTGGGATTCATGAACATAAGACCTGCCAGGCTTTGCCCCTCAATAGCTGGGGACATATACATAAAAAGCAACGATAAAGACATGGTAGGAGACGCAGTTGTAGGAGGAAATAAGAAGCAGAGAGTGGGAAGTAGAGAAGACTGCTGGATGAGACTGCAGAAACAAGGTCAGATTAGACAGGACCGTGTGGACTTTGCACAGTGGCACCAATGACAGCAGAGGGAGCTATGGCGCAGGAAGGAAGAGTGTGTGTGTGTGTGTGTGTGTGTGTGTGTGTGTGTGTGTGTGTGTGTGTGTGGAGGGGGGTTGTCAAATGACCCTGTGGTAGCAGCAAATAACCCCACCCCCCACCTGGGGTCTTGGCTATTGTTAGAACCATGGACACAGACAGCTCTAAAGCCTTACTGGCCATGGAATGGCTGTGAAGGAAAGAGTGACTTATTCAGGAAAGCAGCAGTGGCTAGCAGGGGTGGGGCAGTCAGTCTTAGTATGGATGCTGTTCCCTGGCCCCTTCCTTGACCAGTAGGAATCTGCTGAGCTAAGAGTGCAAAGGATCCCTTCTCCCTCTCTTCAATTGAACTCCATGAGCTCGGCCCAGTGCTTGGTTGTGACTCACTGCACCTACGTCCACCAGTTACTAGATGTAGGTTCTATGAGGACAACTAGGGTAGTCACTACTCATATGAACAAGGCAGGTCAAGAGCATGAAGGGGAAAACCACAGAGATAGCTCACCCGAGCTAGTGGGAGCTCATACACTATGGACTGACAGCTGGGGAACTGGCATGGGACCAAACTAGACCCTCTGAATGTGGGTGACTGTTATGTGGCTTGTTTTGTTGGGGGAGGGGGCTCTTGGCAGTGGCATCAGGACCTATCCCAGACGCATGAACTGGTTTTTGGAGCCCATTCCCTATGGTGGGATACCTTGCTCAGCCTTGATAAAGGGGCTTGGTCCTGCCACAACTTGGTATGCCAGACTTTACTGACTCACCAAAGAAGGCCTTACCCCCTCAGAGGAGTGGATGGAGGGGGGAGGTGGGGGACAGGGAAGGGGAGGGGGAATTGGGGTTGGTATGCAAAATGAAAAATAATTTTTTTAATTAAAAAAAAAAAGTGCAAAGGAAACCAGACTAGAGGAACTAGAAGTTCAGCATGCCTTTGTGATAAGAGGAGGAGAGTAAAAGCAGTCGACACAAGCAGGGAAGACGAAATAGTACTAGGGAGAGAAAGGCCAAGAGAGCCAGGAGGCTTTGCCGTGGCTAGGGCCCCGAACATGCCACTGGTACATGGTGCCTTCGCAGGAGCCTGTTGCCTGCTCACACAGCTGTCACATTTATTCACCAAGAGGTTGCTGTGGGATGTGCAGGAGGTAGGTGTTGCATTGAACTTGAGGTTGTCGGGTGAGTGGGGAGAGCAGGAAAAGCTCGAGAGAATAGACACACCAGAAAACAGGCAAACAGACACAGCGCTCCCACAGTGTGCTTTCCCTCTGGAGCCCATACCCAGCTTCTGTGTTACCAACCTGCTCGAAGGAAGCTGGAAGAAGCCGCCAGCCCTACCCCTGGGTCCCCCGCCCCAACCAGTCCTCCAGACTACACAAGCCCTTTTTTGCCTTAGAGGTTGCCATGGGTTCTTGGTTAGTCTTGGGGTCTCTTTCCCCTGGGCCAACAAGACAAGGTAGCTTAACTTTATCAAGGGCCACAGTGGGAAGCGCCCGCCCGTGGCTGTTCGCTTTGTTCTAGGTCACACACTTTTGCGCTGACTGGGTGGAGAGAATATAAAGGTGGCTGTCTCTTAAGTGGGTGATGCTGGCTGGAGTGACATGGTCATTATCTCCAATCTGGGAACAGATCTTCTCAGAAGGAAAGAAATATAAAGCCACATCGCAAAGGGACTCAGCTCTCTGTCACCCCTATCTGGCAAGTCAAATAGGCTGATCTTGGGTCTGTAACAGCGGGAGCTCTGCTGCCGCTTTCCTAAACAAAGTGAGACACATCCTGGCTCGTCCTGCCCAAAGTCAAGCAGTTTTCAGGAACCCCAGACCTGAGATGGCTCTTCACTGGGTGAAACAAACACAGAGTTTTCCTAGTCAACCCAGACCAAACAAAGGGAACACTAAAAGGAAACTATCAGAGGCCTTGCTGAAACTAGCATCTAACTGGGTGAAAGGACCCCTGCTTTGTACCTTCACACCTACCACTAACTCTTCCTTAGGGGGAAAAATAGGAGAGGCAGTACCTTCACCATGAACTTCTCAAGGCATCTCTGATCCAAGCTGATTTCCACATCTGGTGTACCTTCTCCTCAGCACAAGCACTGTGGATCTAGAGATTAAATGGTTTCCACAAGTACCTAGAGAGGCCATTTTCCATCAACGAGCAGGTGCAAGTCATAAAAGCCACAGTGCTTTCCACTCAGTGTCTCTGATGTCAATGAATGTCCTCAGAGCAACAGCTCAATGTGTGGTTGCTCTTTATGACCTATGTTGTCTGGGACGTAGTGTCCATCACATGGGTCACAGAGTAAGAAACAAGTCTAATACCTCCCCAGCCCTATGTACCTACTCATTGTTTGCTGGAAACTCCCCCAGGCAGCTGAAACACTAAGAGCCTTATTCAAGTAGAAAAAAAAAAAAACAGATCTCAACACCAGGCAAGCCAGCAAGACCAAACTGTGTGCATTCAACCTCTGAAAGCAATGGGCTGGTGTCCCGACCTCATAAGGAGCATATGAGCAGAGAGAGTGATATCCTAGTCCATGGTGGGAATAGCTGACTTAGGGCTGCTAGCAGGTGTATGGTGCTCGATAATGCCTGGAACTATACCCCACAGCCACAAGACACAGTGAGCAAGGACACTCTGGGTGCCATAGTGGTTTCTTTGCCAACACTAAAACACACTTAACTCCAATATCCAAAGCTACTAATGAATGCTTTTCAAAAGTATGGGCATCTGCTGTCTGATTTCTTGGTCCAACCTCAGGACCAAAATTCCCATGTCCCTAAAAGTGGTCTACCTTCTGAAGAGCCCTACTGTTCTATCAGGGAGCCATTCTCCTTTGTGAATGCCCTATATTCTGAACTCCTGGAAGGCTGGTCTTATTCTTCTCTGTTCCCAACCCCATGCCATTCCTACTTCTGGGAATATAAGAAATGCTCAATAAATATATGTTAAATTGAATTATTGAACAGCAAGAATTCATGTAACACTGGTAAATGAGTGGAGAGAAACTGAATGGGTGAATGGATGATGAATGTACAAGGGAGCAAGTAGACAAAGGCTTTGAGAGATGCTAATTCTCTCATTACTGTGTTTGTAACTCACTGGCATACTGTTTGGGTAGCAGTTCTCTGTGTTAGGTAGCAATTTGGCTTAAATTAAAAAAATCCCACATCTGAAAAAATGTAAGAAAATCAATGGAGATGCTGTTTGACTCTAGATTCTTGCTTCTCTTGGTGCTTTATTTTTATTTATTTATTTATTTTTACACTTAGGCATTCTGGGAGTACATGGAAAGGCTTTGGTTTAAAGAGTCATTTCCTGAGAAAAGTACATGGAAGCCTGAGTTTTGGTTTAGTTTCTTTTCCCTAGAAACATCTATTCAGCTGTTTGGGTATTTAAAGAGAACCCACTTCTGGGGGTTCCATTCATTGCTACACACGGGAGTCTTCACTGCTTCTCTCCGGGCCCTCTAGACTTGTACTTTACACTTGAAGGGAAATGTATTCTTCTGAGTGGAAGACCCACATGCCCATGTTTCCTGGGAACTAGCTCCAGACTGGCTCACATCCAGCAGTATCCTAGGAGCACTGTGGAGATTGAGCTGCTCCTATTTCTAGAGCTTCAAATTCAAACTCGCACCATAACGGCTTGGAGAACTTTCTCTTTGGACACTACGTTCCTAACAGGAACTAGTGGAGGCAGTTCTGAGGATTTTTATATTTAGAAAGCACTGTGTGTTGATGCTAAAACATGTTCAGATTTGAGTCTCTGGGTTAGTGATACAAACCTAGAGTTGAGGAGAGGGCTGCCTAAGGGGAAGAAAGAAGGAGAGAGAAAGAGAATAGAAAACGGAATGGCTAGAGAAAGTTCAAAGCAATTAGAGGGATTGTCTGACAGCAGGAGCACCAAGCTAGATGTCTTTGTCGTGAATGACCAACAGGGAACACAGTCTCAATGTGTTTATGTGTGCTCACATGCACACACAACTCACATACGCACACGTGTGCACACCCATGATCTGATTGTTTTGGAAAGATGCTGGGAATGCCAAAGTGAGACACATCCCAGACCCTGGAAATCCTTCACCTCTGACAATTTTTTTGTCCTCAGCCTGAGCTCCATCACACCCCCGGGAGAGAAGGTACAACACAGCTGCTGAAAATTGGTAGTTACTGTTGCATGCTTCTTCACAGTCCCCACTCTGGCTGTCACTGTGACAGCATCTTAGGGTCACATCTGGCTGGTATGGTATCAAAGACTTGCAGTCAGGGAGAGGGAGGGAGTGATAAAGGAAGATCAGAAAAGTACACCAGGGCCATCAGCAAAGTAGATTGTACTTGTTACCCCTGCCTGCACCTGCACCTGATGCTACAGCCAGCTTTTCAACAGCTACTGAAAGCATGGGCTGAGACTCCCATGATGAGATGCTGGAGCCCAGCACCATACAGTCATATGGTCTACAGCCCAGAGGTGGAAATTTGTAAAGAGACCTTCCTGTCCGAGGCTCATCAGGACAGGAAGTAAAAGGTCCTTTGTGCAAAGTAGAAGGGATAGTTAGGGCTACTAAGGAAGTTGACTTGCTCTAGCAAGTAAAAGAATTTGCCTAACTATAGAAAACCCAACTTCCATCTCATTGTCTTTAAGTTATACAAAACCAGGTTCTTATTGAGACCAAGGCTGGAAATGTTTCCCAACGTTTCATTTTAGTTTGAGGTTAGACATGGCTGACAACCAGTGTTGTCTCCTGACAGCACATCAACAGTCTGCTGTGTTTCTCAGCTCAGAGTCTCATCTATCCTATAGACAGAGCTACTTTGGCTGAACTGTATCTTATTCATTACCAAATCCTCAGTGCCTAGAACACCCTGGCTCACAAGGACACGCAGCAAACATTTGCTGGGAACAAGGTACAGGCAAACTGCAAGTCCCTTAGAGAGAGGTACACACTTCACAGCAACACTGGGCTCTGACATGCTAACAGTGATGTCAAGGCTGGGAAAGAAGGCTTTTGTATTTACAGGAGATGGTGCACGTGAAAACAGCGGGAAGCTACATCTCCGTGCAGCTACAAAACTGCCTTGGGTTCTGGGACAAGTCAGCACTTCTCTTGGCCTTGCTTCTCTTTCTGGCAACTGAACACGGGATGTTCCCTTGCTTCCATCCCACTCTCCTTGCTCTAGTTTGCAGACAGGAGTACACAGCCTCTTAGATGTTTTCACCAGGGCTAAATGGATTTGACTATCTGAGAAACTTGGGAAAGATGATATTTTCAAGACTGGCAGCATGCTTTATCCACCCAACTTCTGAAAAGCAATGCTGGATTCTGGCAAGTTATTTCTCATGCTGAAGTGGAAACACCACAAAGATGATATTTTCTATTTTTTTCAAATAATGGACTCCATTCTGCCAGAATGAAGACAGCTCAAATATGGTATGTGTATTTACTGGCACTTACTCAAAGATGGGTGAAGCAGGGTGGCTAGTTAGATCTTATGAAGGGCATCTTTAAAGTTAAAGCAAATATACTTAGGATGGGGTGGCCCTCAGAACATGTATTTCTAAATATGCATTGCACATCAAGCAGTCTTTGGCTGACAGTGAGAGGGACTTTGATGGAGTAGTCTAATATGTTAAAACTAACATGAGAATCAAAATATAACAGCATGCCATAAGGCTACACCATTCAATACAAAAACCAGTTTTCTTTATGGTGTTTCCTTTTAGGTCAGAACTGACTTTTCTCTGAGAGTTCTGCCTGTAGCTCCCTTTAAGGTAAGAGACAGGAAAAAGTTAAAAGGAGAAGGAATTACAGAGAAGGAAGAGGAGCTGGATTGAGCCACACCAGCGGTCTGGACCACAGTTGTCAAGCTAAAGATGACCCTCGCTAAGGCGGGTAGTGGGGGAAACCTTACAAAAGTGGACATATTATACTTTGCTTCTTAGGAACGTACTGAAACAAATCAAAGACACTCATCAACCACCCCCTCAGCTTGCGGGTGCATGTGTGACCCAATAAAATTGGTAGGAAGATGAGATGTCAAGAGAGCCTCGGGCCCTCCACACGCCCACCCTCTAAGTGCCCCATCTGCGTACCCAATACAGCACGTCCGTCCAGCCCTCCATGGTGATACACTGGAACACTGTCAGCATGGCGAAGGCGAAGTTGTCGAAGTTGGTGATGCCATGTTTGGGCCCATCCCACCCGGGCTTGCACACGGTGCCGTTCTGACACTGCCGCCCATGGCCTGTCTCCAAAGCACAAGGGGAAGGGTCCTCTTCTGCTGGAACATCTCCACCACCAAGGAAATATGAGACAGCAGGAGAATGGAAGGAGGGACAATGATGGGCAGAAAATGAAGAAAAGAAGTTAGAGAGAAAAATAACAGGATGGGGCTGATGAGTAACCATAGCAGCAACCACACATTTTGTTTAGTGCCCTCACGTGAGGAATTAAAAACACATTCATTTCAGGGGCACAATGACATAGGTCAGTATTTTCAAGCAAGTGTTGGGAACTGCATTTTAACCACAATTGATTTCACGGACACCAAGGTATATTGTCTATTTTGTCATAACGTGGCATCATGTCCAAGGGGCCAATCAGAAAGTAATAATGATGTATCCATCTCAAGTGTAAGTTGTTCTGGAAAACAGAAGACAAAGCAAGGAATTCAGAGTTTGCAAAACTGAGGGTTTTATCTTGCAGCTATAGCAATAACAAACAGAAGACCCGAGTTTGAACAAACAATTGCCTCTGACAATGACTAAAATGCAACTCCAGAGAGTGAATTTGCCTGTGGTTCTTCATTTAGAGATAATAAGATACCCAGAATCTTCTCTTCTTTTATAAGGATCCAAACCATCACAGTGTGATTATTTTGCCCATGGGACACAGGCTCTTTATGGAAGATGACTGGCTGGATGGCTGTTGATGTCTGTGGCTTCTAATTGAAACTGTTTACTCTCAAGAAAAAGAGAAGCAGAGAAATGTTAACCCTTAATTGTGAAAGGATTCTTAGGAGAATGGAGGTGGGTGCTGTGGTTCAAAGGGTGTGCCAGTATCTTCCTGGGGACAGTAGTAGCTTCTATCATTTCCTCTTCTATGCCATTCCCAACTACTCCCATCCTTGTTTGTAGTTCATTCTTGCTTCTGTCCCCAACTCCTAACAAGCTGATTTGTTTTCTTTTAGCTTGCCTTTCCTTTGAGTTTCACATAAATACAACCATAAGAGGCTCTTTGTACCCCTTCCCTTCTTTAGCACGGGGCTTCTGAGTTCAAGCACACTGCCCATTTCTGTCTCGCCTGTTCCTTTGTATTGCTGAGCAGTGTAGTTCCCTGCATTCTCCAGGTGATGGGCACCTGGCACACTCCCAGGATTGGGCTGTTCAGAATAAAGCTGCTTCCTGGCTGATTCTCTCCTGGTGAGACAGTCAGTGACCAAGGGCACAGGTCTATGTTACTGATCTCTGAGCTTCTGAGGGTAGCAAGTGTCTGTACCATTTCCGTATCCACAGTCTGGCTTCCAGAGGCTACATATTAAGGAAACTGAACTGAACTACCTCTAGTTACAACATTTCATGACTTTTAAGATTGTCAAATCTTTAGAGATGAGGATTTAAAGCTGTTGGAAGCAGAGAAATGAAAGTTATTTTCAAACCTAAATAATACGCTAAAAATAGCAAAGCAATGCACCTAAAAAATGAGAGTTGAAAAATGGGAAAACCCAGAAGCAAACGTCATTAATTCCATTCTCATTCTGGAACCAGCTTTCTAGAGGCAGAGGGGACAAATGAGATAGGGGAAAGATAAAGCGAAACTTGATTTTGCTTGTGTTTATTTGTTGCATAAAGATGTCGGTCATCTATTCCTAATGTGGCTCCTAGGCCGACAGTCTGTCCTGGATCTTCAGTTCCTAAAACAGTAGAAATAGGGAAGGGGGGCGGGGTACTGCCAAAGCCAGTTCTGAGAGTTCACGGGGAGGAAAACATGTTTGGTGAATTTACAAATATATGTTAGAAGAAAATGGCACTAAGGGCCATCAATCGCACAGATAGAGAGAGGAAAGGAAAGGGCCTTGGGAAGATTTACAGGCTCAAGGGTTGCCATGCTATTTAAAATCTTCCCTGAACAATAAAAAAAAAAAAATCACAGAACAATTAAGAAGCAGCGATGATCCAGTAAAAATAGGTATCTATAAAAAGGAACATTTGAAAAATGTGAACATACAGTCAGCAGGTCCTAGTGACATACACGCCAGGGTGAAGGAAGTCAGCTTAACCATAGGATGTGCTGGTTTTCTTCTGCAGGGCCATGACGTCCCAGTAGGGAGATATGAGAAATAAAGCCATGTGGGCTATACATTTCAGAATGGAATCGAAGAGTAGTCAGTGTGCAAAGATCAAATGAAGTCTTTGGTGAAATAAAGGAGATTTTAGAAATGGAATCAACTTCAACAAGGACAGAATCCTGGGGGAGCTTTCGGCCGTGTTCCAAAGAAAAACCACCAAGACAACAGCAATTACATTTTTTAGGTTGCAACTTAAAGGACAAAATAGAATGGTAGTGATTTCATTGCTAGGTTTAGCCAACAAATTCTGTGCCAGTCTCAGAGGTAATTATCGTGCTGGGGAGAGCTACTGAGTGCCCTGGCTCCCAATCCACTGGACAGATGGGACACCAGAAACAAAAGGTATCGGCATATGGCGACATATCTGCTGAGCAATCAGGAGGGTGCCTTGCAGTCGCTGGAGAGACTGGAAGAAAACAGCCTCTTTTGAGACCATCACCATTGGACATTGGACATAGAAAGAGAAGCCTAAAGGCAGAACAATAGCTCCATGGCAGGCTCCAAAGCTTCCTTGCAGGGATCTTACAAGAAACATGGGTTAGAAAAGTTAGAAGAATATAAAATCCAGCCTGTGAAATAATATCAGAGTTTAAAAGGAAATACATATATTCCATTAAAATTATAACAAAGACTCACTAAGCCTTTTGTAAAATCTAAATATGACAGAAACATGTTAATTAACATGTAAAACACAACAAAACCAAAACCAAATGAAAACAAAAACCCCAAGCAAACAAACCATTCCAAAGGTTCTATAAAATTCAGATACACACTGATGCTGGCTCTGCAGGGTTTTGGACTTCCTAGTCTACAGATATGAATGTGACAAGATCCCTATAGGTTCTGTCTCTTCCTCATTGGGGGAACCATATGGTGGCTTTGTTGCTGTTGTGGTTTTGAGAAGCTAGAAGACTCTGTGCTGTGGGCAGACGTTGTGAAGAGGAAGAAACAACTGCTTTGTTCCAAAAGTAATGCTGCCTCAGCCAGGAATCTTTGGCCTCTTCCCCAATTGTGGCTCTGGCTCCTACTGGAGCCTCATGGCACCTTTCTGAGGGACATTACTCTCATTCCCCTGACACCCTGGATCATTTGGTTTCCACCCAGCAGACAACTGGCCTCTGAAGTTGCTGGATCAGGACTAAGCCCATCACAAAATGATGTCATGCGTGTTTAGGAAGGATGCATGAGGTAGTGCAGGTGGTTTTTCTGTGTACTATCAAGGCCAGTATGACCTTAAGTGGACACCTCCAAAAGTTGAAGCCCAGTGTGCTCTTCTTTCTAAGGGCAGACAGAGAAGGTTTTTGGTGCTGGAGATGGTTTTCCACAGGGCTTCCGGCTATACGCTAGGAAGAGGGCGTCATCTTGTTTTCTTTGACTATGATACCATTTTCTTGCCATTTGAGGTCACTGGGGCCTGGTAACTTGCAGGTCCCTCACCAGCAGAAGACCTACTTTTGCCTCTTTCTTTTAAGATGGCAGAGATGGCTGGAGGTTTTAAGCAGCTCTCCATGGCTTTGTGGTGCACCACATCAATGTTTGATGGCTTGGTACAGTCACTGTCTTTGGTTCTATGACAAAATCTCTCCCTATTTCATTGGTGAGTGTCCCACCATCGGTCATTGCCAAATTGAAGGGGAGTCATTGAGATTCTGCACCTCTGTGATAGTCTGGCAAATCTGGGTCCAGTGGGTCACTGATCATGTAGTGTAACTGCATACATTTACTCATGCTGCAGTTTGTCCTTAAGGAGCTCCAACCAAGCTGCACCATTCACATAAATTACTGGTTCGGGGTTAGCTACAGATCAGTTAGGTAAGTTACTGGTTCAGGGCTAGCTATACATCAACTGAGAAAAAGGAAGGATTTGAATAAAAAAGAGGCAGTGATCATTATGTTGGTTGGTATTCTCTAAGTGAGGTTAAATGTCTCGGAATTTTAGCTGAATACAGGAACTTGCTCTTCCAGTTAAAATTATATACCAGCTAACATGTTTTAAATTGTCACCAATTTCACACAATTACAACTCAAATAATGTGGAGATTCTCTTGAGAGTGAATAATTTATCTTACACAGAATCTTTTTAAAGTAAAAAATAAGTGGATTCTGTAAGTATAGATTTATATGTGTTGTTTGCCTTTCTGTGACCTCTAGATAATGGAGCAACTCTGAAGATGCCTAAGCTAGTCTACCTAATCACAAACCCCTTTGCACACCACGTAACAGCATCAGCTTCTGAGTGTGCTTTTCATCTCACTCTGTCATACAGGTTGGCACCATCACCCACCAGCCCTGTGTGCAGCTCGCGCTGGATGGGAGTAAGAGGGTAGAGCAGAAGGAAGCCTCCAGTTTTATTAGAGCACAGGCTCCAGACGTTCGTATACATTTTAGACTATTTTATATGTCTGTTCAAAGCCTTATCAATTTCTGTTTTTTTTAAGCAAGAGGAGGGTTAATATATTCTTTTCTTTTATGTATTTGATATGTATTATGTATTTATGTATTCTGCTCCCATGTATGTCTGTGTCCCATCTGTGTGTTTGGTGCCTTCAGAAGCAGAAGAGGGTGCACAGTCCCAGGAACCGGAGTTATAGAAGGTTGTGAGCCACCATGTGGGTGCTGGCAATTGAACCCAGGTCTTTGGAAAGACTCAGGGCTCTTCACCGCTGAGCCACCTCCATAGCCCCCTGTTTAATTTTGATAAAGGTCAAGTGAAAATATTAGTCACTTAAGAGAGCAGTCTATAGCTTATCCTGCCAGCTAAAATCCTGGTGCCATTTAAAGTGCTTAATGAGCCAGCACTGCTTGTTAAATTCATTGATTTATGGAAGGCACACAAAGAGGGGAGGCTCAGAAAGGTAGGGTTGATGGTGTGTCATGGAGCTGAACCTTTTCCTCAAGGAACACAGATTCCACTGCTGGCAACGGAGTGTTCAGTGGCAGCCTCTTGGTCAACTCTGGGATAGGGATAGGGAGGGAACCTGGGGGTTCTGCCTTTGCATGGGGAAGAAAATGGTAGCTGCAAAGGAGCCAGGGCCAGCTCTAAGAGGGTATAGTGATGGGGGTGGTGGAGCAGGCTCCCTGAAGGGCTTGGATGCCGAACCACACTGGCGTACTGCTGTGCACACATGCTCATCAGTTGGCAGTGGCAGCTCACACACTCAGAATCTGCTTCAGGAGCAAGAAACTGATGAAAGATGGGCGCTTAATCTTTAATTACCTCTCCAATTGTGTAAACCCTTTACAGTGTGTGTAGCAGTTCTGGACAAAGCACACACCTGCTGTTTGAACAGAGATCTGCAGTAGTGGAAGCAGAAACTGGAAACGAAGAGGGGCAAATGCCCACCCTGCCTTTCATTGTGGTGTGAAGTATGGGAAATTGAATGTCTCATCCAGTTCCGTAGCACAGGTGGATGCAGCAATCCACTCCGGGGGAAGCGGCTATGAGGACAGCAGCGTCCTCCTGGGTGCCTGCTGCCCAGAGCCCACCTCTTACCTATTACTCCCTCCTGGTTGTAGCAGGTCTTGTGCATCTTCCCCATGAAGAGCTCCAGGCCGATAATGGCATAAATGATGATGACGAACAGCACAAGTAGGGCAATGTGCAGTAGGGGCACCATGGCCTTGATGATGGAGTTCAGGACCACCTGGAGACCTGCGCAACAAAATCATCAAAAGTAGCAGCAACAGTAACTCCGCCTCCTTTTTGGCGCCAAGGCCGCCTTAGATACCATACTAACACGACCTCCTTCGATCTTCTTAACAACTCGAGTGGCAGTCTCGAGTCCCATGTTTTAGATGAGGAAACCGGCTTAAGGTCAATGAATGAAAGAGCAAGAATCTAAACTCAGGTTGGCTTGACTCCAAATCTGTCCTGGAGGCACATCCAAATAAAAAGATCGGCAGACGCTGCACTACCCAGGGGAGAACATGTTTTCATCTGTAACCATCAAGACTTTAAATAGCCCATCTCAGAGACAGTGTGTTTCCTCTAAGAGCTCAGCACAGCGGAGAACTCACTGTGACTACCCACAACCACACGTGACTTAGTCATCTCCCAGGCTTCTCTGTGGTGGATTACTAGAGCCTAGCATCAGCCCGCCTGCTCTAAAACATACATCAGCCTGATGGGAAGGAATCCAGGAGGGTGTGATTTCTAGTGGAGGAGCTACCTTACCAGCAGGATACATCTGAGAACCACTGTATCAGGGCCAACAGTGTACCTCTAAAGGTACATTTTTAGTAGTAAATAAGGGGACAACTGTGTAGTACACAGATCTACCAGGGGCCACATCATCTGAATGTCATTCTCACAAGCTCCATAGAAAGAGACGTCTTATTTAACAGCACAGAATTAAGTTCTGCAGATTAGATGACACTGGCACAAATATACAGAGTGGCCCCAAGCCACACTCATAAAAGGAGCTGAAACAGCAAACTTGGCCTTGTACTTATCACCAAGAAAAAACTAAGAGTACCCAGATACCACCAGGAGGAAAAGGAGCGAATGGATAGCCCTGTGGCGAACACTCGCTTATCAGGGTACCTCAGAGTTGGCTTTTTCTGCTGTTCTAGGGGAGAGGGATGGGCATTTAGTAACTGCACCAAGGATGCTCACAGGAATGCTACCAGAAAGGGACTGTGGCAGGATGATGAGTGATAACAACTGGTTACTCTGAAGCCTATGGCAGTTCCTGTGAGCTTCCATGAGCAGCAAGTTACACCAGGTCTCCGCATTAGAGTAGGGTGAAGACAGCTGCACAGAACATCATTCTGAGGGTGCATCCGGAACCCACAGGAGAGCAAAGCCCCTGCAAGTCACACGTGGGGCTGGCATGTTTGTAGCATCTTTGCAGGACTTGTCACCTTTCCTTTATCCTCTCAGACACTAAGGTCTTTCAGTTCTGTTCTTTGGCACTTATCTGTGGCCATATAACCCTGGATAACCACAGCAGGCCACATTTCTCAAGGCCCAAAGTAGTCACTAAAGCTCTGAGCTGTGGCCAGTGGTTTCCACAAGACTAATGAGAAGAACTCTCCCCAGTTATTAAGCCAAGTTGAGGAAAAGGAAAAAAATAAAAAGAAAGCTAGAATAATTTTACCTGTGAATTAATGTGAGCACTTTGCAGGCTCCCATTAGAGCAAGATGTTTTCAGATCCAAACGATCCCATTAATTAGCAAGTTGTACACACATTAGCATTAAAGTCTGCTAAGCCAAGAGGGAAGTTGAGTTGCAAGGCAACTTAACTTCCAGGAGAAGCGAATAGGTGTGGAAGAGCCTTCAAAGTGTCCATCACAGAAGCTAGGAACCCCATCTTGGCTGCCAGGCCACCAGGGAAGGTTATCAGGCCTCTAGCACCAGCCTCAAGTGCCAAGAAACAGACAGGTGACAGACGTAGAGAGAGCTGTGATCTGGGTGGAAGCCAGGCAGGCCATGCAAAAGGCCACTCCAGAACCTTTAATGCCTCTTAGAAGGAAGACCAGGATTTCCCAGAGCTCTGCAAGGCACTGTATGGTCCAGCCAATCCCTCTCTCCTGCCCTGCCTATCCCCCTCTCTGGATTTCAGTCAAGCAAAATTTCTCTTAGATTCAAAGATGTCTCAGTCATGTGCCACAAAACATGTGGCACACAAGGACTAAAGTGGAGCTAACATGCCTATTGTTTACTGACATGATTATGATGTCATAACACTGACCAAGACACACATACTTCACGTGACTGTGGTGCTTCCTATGATAATCAAAACACAACACATGCAGTTTTAAAGATGATAGTAGATGGCTGTGTGATTTCTAAATGTATTTACTGTCAGCGTTTGATCCCTGGGAGTCACATGGTGGAAGGAAAGAGCTGATACTCACAAGTTGCTCTCTGACTCCACATGTGTGCGATGGCACACACACACACACACACACACACACACACACACACACACACAACAACAACCAACAAATACATGAAATAATGTGTTTAATTGTTTTTGAAATGCTCATGATAGAAGGTATGGTGACAGCAATTTGCACTCGTTCCATCTCCGAATCAAGAGGCCACCTCCAGCAACTGACCTGTACTAAGAAGGTCTGTGTAAGTGCACTGTAGGACATTCTCTCGATGCTGGAATCGCCCGGTGTACACTTCTTAGATAGAGCATCATTAAGTATGGTAAAGCTGAACTCCCGCCCCACAGCAGACACAGAATGATTCTTTCCCCTCAGGTTGTCTTATCTGAATTTTCTCCAGCTCTCAGTCCAAGAGGCTCCCTCCCCAAGAATCCTCCAAATCCCTAACAGAGCCATTTCCTCTCATATATGCCCTCTTAGAATCATTTGCTTTCCTTTGTAACATTCCATTTGAATTGTATGCCTTGAATGCTATGTGTGTTAAAGGGATTAAAAAAACATTTTTGTCTGTCTTTCCAGTTAGGTGGCATTTTGTGAAGATGGGCTGTGCCTGTTCTTTCCATCACCAAGGCCTGCCTGTGAAGAGCATCCCCTGGACACTGGGTAAATATTTACTGACAACATGAGAAGTATGTTCTCTGAGTGACTGCACCACAGGACCAGGTTCTACAGGACTACCGTCAGTTGTCCAGCTGGTGTAGGATGGACAGGTGACCTCAGGAACCATGAGGAGCCATTAGGAAAATACCAACTGGAAGTCATGGCAGTCCATGTGCTGCACTCACCGGTCAACAATGTCAATGAGTTATATGTTCTGTTCCGTGTGCCCCCACCTCTTTGGTGGACACACCACCCACTTGTGCATCTGCCCAAGAGGTGCAGTCCCCAGACTATCTTGCCCACCAGATTCCGAATCCTGCTAGTTTGATTTTCAACTATAAATAGACAGTCATAAATTATTTTACTACATAGATAATACATGACAATTACAACGAAAACAGAAAATGCTTATGAAAGAGAAATTATAAAGCATAGTTGGGGGAGATACAATTGTTTACTTTCTCAACTTCACAGAGATACCATCAGTTAGCATTTCACGTCCTTTCGGGGGACTTCAGTCCATGACTCCCCCCCCCACACACACTATTGTCTCAGAGTATAGTTAACCAGCCTTCCAACTCCCATGTCTTCCCTGTCATCATTCAGCAGTTAGCTTGTTCTTATCAAAGGACACACTGAATTGTGTCACTTTTGAAAGTGACCATCATCGATCCCTGTCATTTAGAGAGGCAAGTTCACCTCTTCTTTGCTGTTTTGGCTCCTATGGTTCCTAGTTTCTCCTTACACTTCAGCAGCATGCCCAGCATCTGGAGGTCCCTGGCTTCCTGCCAACCTATGACAGTGTACGCTGCTCCCTCTCTGCCCCATCCAGATCTCCTTGAGTCTTCATCTTGTTTTCTCATCTTTGTATTCAGGCATGTAGCAGAACTCCTGGAGTGAAATAGCACTAAGCACAGGTGTCTCCAGAAAGCACAGCAACCTGGGATCTACAAGTACACCAGCAAGCAAAGCAATCACTCAGAAAACCTATCAGGGGATAAGATCCATGGGATGGGACAAGGACAGAGGTGACCGGGCTTGTTGTTATCAGTGATCTTCCCATGACTTAAGTTGCTGTTTTGAGGACAGTGGGGATTATTATTTTGGTATGACCACAGGATGGAAGGAGGACTAACTAGGAGGTACCCAGGAACAAAAAAGAATCTGCCCAAGAACATACCTGTGTGCAGCAGGCATGGGGTAACTTAAAAGGTAGTGTATCACAATCCTCAGGGCAACGTACTGGCTGACTAAATGAGCTCTTCTGAAAGGGCTTGGGGGATTGCAAAGACTGGGTGAAAGATTCCTCTGGCACATCAAAGCCCTGTAGCCTCATAAATCATGTCCTGAGGACACCCCAGCTGAGGTGCAGCTGTCATTATTCTACTTGAATCATTCTGTTTCCTTCTGGCCACACCTTTGAGAACTAGATGCTATAAACCATAGCTGAAAGAGGAAATGACCCGATTACAGGGCACAGCTAGTGGATGGCAGCCCTGGGAGCAGAAGACAATTCTGATTCAGTTTGTCTGGGGTGGGATGTGAGTTTGCATTTCTAACCAAGTTCCAAAAAATACTATTGCTACTTGCTGGTCCAGCCACCACAATGCAAGGCAAGACCCCAGGAGCCATGGCAACTGCATCCAAAGCCTTCCTGAGAGTTCTGAAACAGTTCAAATACTGTGGTAGGTATGAGGTGATTCTAGTAATATCACACCTTCAGGTGATTTGTAATTAGTAAAACATGGAATGTCCATGGTAGGTGCTGAGAAACACTCAGGTGCCAGCCTGACTACACTACAGACTTACTTATTATGTTTTTGTTTACTTAGTTTTAAATATATGAGCACTGAAGAGGATGACATATTCCTATACCCTTCAACCCAGGAGCATAAATGATAGGCACTGGGGCCACTACTTCCAGCAGCAGTAATAGCCATTCAGCAGAGTTATGGGAGAGACCAATGACTGCACCCAATACTACAGTATGAAAGGCATGAGCTGAGCATTTTTTTTTTTTTGACAGTGGCCTCTACCAATATCACTCTTGCCTAGACAGCATCCTCAGGGCTGCTCGCCAACTCCAGCAGCCAGTCTAGGCCTATGCCTCCACCACTCTTTTCTTGTCTATTTGTCCATGATTATATATAACG